ATGAGGCTAGGGCTCTAAGGATATTTTAATCATTCTGGAATAGCCCCTCTCTTTCCTTTTTCCTTCCATTATTCAATGAATAAACTTCTGACTAATATTTATTCCACTCTTGTGAGATGACATTAATACCAGTGACACTGCTAAAGGGTTGGAATGATGATGAACCTTTATTTTCAGAATAATCATGATTCCAAACCCATGATTTGCCACCAGTAAATCATTCCAGCACAGCCACTGTGCCTAAGAAACGAGAATTGCAACACCTAGAAGAACACGAGAGCAACTTGGGATACGATCCAAGTTTTGCAGCACATTAATTAATAGCTTTTCCATCCAGTCTTCCAGAAAGACACTGGAAGAGCTACAACGCGTTTTCAGTGATTCTCTAGATTTCTGTAGGCTTGGGTCTTCAGGATTTTGTGATGTCCTGTCAGTTTGCCATTTTCGTGTGTTTTCTTATATACTAGCTCTTCCCTTGTCCTTCTGAGACGCCAGCCTTTGCCATAGTCCATAGAGCCATAAAATGGCATTTTGAAGCTCTGTAGCTTGCTTAGAATCTAAATTCAATGTAAATAAGAAACACAGATTTTCATTAAGGGGGTCTTAAGTTTACAATTCTGAAAATTCTTTTTTCAAGATTTTCTATTTACAGATAATTTTAACCTTTCATTTGAGGAGAAAGAGAAGGGGCAACTGCCTCAACAAAGGGAGTGTAGAGCATTACTGTATGCAAATGCAGAGTTTGAATTTTCCTTCCAGTCTCTAATTGCTGTTTGTTGCTTTTGAGATTGAATTGTTAAGACTTCTAGTAATCACATACATCAACACAGATGGTTGACTAAAACTGTTCCTGTGGGTTGAGTCACTTGTAGTGAGGGGAGTGGTGGGCTTGGCGCTGCAGCTGGTGGAGAAGAGGAGATTCACCTGGATGAGACTGCAGAGAAAGTTCAGAAAGGAGTACTGTGACCTATTTTAGGAACTGTCGTGCAAGAAACAAAACTGTTATTAAGGTATCTTAGCTCTGGCTGCCATAACAAAATAGCACAGACAAGGTGGTGTAAACAACATTAATTCTCTCAGTTCTGGAAGCTAGGAAGTCCAAGATCAAGCTGCCAGCAGAGTCAGTATCTGGTGAGGATCCTACTTCTGGCTTGCAGACTGCTACCTCCTCACTGTGTCCTCACGTGGCCTTTCCTCGGTGGGTGCTCTTGGAGAGAGCAAGCTCGCATGTCTCTTCCCCTTCTCTCAAGGGCACTAATCCCTTCATAGGGGCCCTCCCTCTGAATGCATCACATTGAGAGTTAGGGCTTCAGCGTGAATTTTGAGAGAACACAGACATTTAGTCCGTAACACACAGGCTTATGGATTTGCAACTGCCCTGATAACAATCTTTGGTGTTATTTAGTAGACTGCTAAATCCTAAAGGAAATCAACCCTGAATATTCACTGGAAGGACTGATGCTAAAGCTGAAGTTGCAATACTTTGGCCACGTGATGCGAAGAGCCGACTCACTGGAAAACACCTTGATGCTGGGAAAGATTGAAGCCTGGAGGAGAAGAGGGTGACCGAGGACGAGATGGTTGAATGGCATCATCGACTCAACGGACTTGAGTTTGAGCAAACTCTGGGAGTTAGTGAAGGACAGGGATGCCTGGCATGTTGCAAGCAGCTCGTTGGGTCACAAAGACTTGGACACGACTGAGCAGCTGTAGACTGCTAAGGATACTTCCTGGCCCCTTGGGTAGGGAGTTCGCCTTTGTAGATCCCGGTGAACCTGTGTTGCTTTGGTCAAAGTATATTAGGCCATCTTGGAGAGATTGTTGGCTGTCCCTATAGCCAGTCAGGTTGGGTTGCTTCTGAATAACTTCTCAAACTGGTATCATCCTGATATCCAGAAACTGTCCTTTCTGGACACCATTTACAGTTGGAAGAGAAAAAGTTTCTATTCACTTGTCAGAAGGGTTTTGGTCAATTTTGGACAATAAAGGGAAAGTTGATTTTGAAAGTCACAGGTTCCCTCTTTTGATTTAGTAGTAATCTTATCCTGATAGCGTTTAATGTTGAAGTCACTGTAACCAGAGAATAATCTTAATAGGCTTTAATTAAAAGCACAAGGAGGTCTTTTTTTTTTCCGTGTCTCCTTCTTTATCTGTCTTCCTCTTTTTCATCTTTCTCCTCTTCTCTCTTCCTCCTCACTTCGATGTTTCCCCCATCCCTGCCTCCCTCTGCCTCCTCTTCATCCTTTCACGTTTCAAATGTTTTTGGCTTGGCTAATCCCTCTGGATAGCAACTGAGCTGAGCAGGATATTGATTACCAAATATGGTATTGCTGCTAAAGATGTTAGAGGAATGTGGCTTGTATTCTAAGCCTCCAGCCTCTGAATAAGCTGCCAAACAAATTAGGTCATTTTAACTTCTGAGCTTTTTTTTTTTTTTTTAATAAGGAGCTGGAACTTTGATTTGGAACATGATGGTGGTGTTATTTCAGCTCACAGAGGGAGGAGGAGGATGAAGAGTTGGGGTGAGGAGTTGGGGCCACTCAAGCATGTTTTAGGACCTGAGTCACGAGACCAGGTTGTGTAAGAGCCTCAGTCAACTCGGGCGCATCAGGAAAAGAACTGAGGAACCGAATGCAGATGGAGAGCCTCCTCTCAGGGACTAGAAACTCCAGAGGACCCCTGACCAGGAGGCTCTTCCCACGCTGCTCACGGTGATGTGGGCTCAGGGTGAGGACAGGTGCTTCTTTGCAGAAGGATGATGGAGTTACACGCCAAGGAGGACACTCTGAAATTGAGAGCACGTTTTTTCTATGTGAGGTTGGATGGGGCGTGAGACGAATACGCAGGCCCTTCCACGGCACACCTTTGACCACGGGGAGCTGTGCTCGTTTTCCAGCAAAGACCACAGCTCTTCAGATCCGTATTTGGACATCTTTACTCTGTTGTTAAACCAGCTCTGATGGAGGGAGATGCTCTCCGTGGAAGTGGATGGAAGCAAACATGACTTCCGCATGCTGCCTTGTCTTTTTCCCCATATATACATTTTCGGCAAGACAGTCCTGAGGTTTCCCCAATTAAGACAAAAACTAAGGGCAGTTAAAGAATTGCTTTTTACGTTTCATACAGCTGCCCCCTTTTTTGTTTTTGTCATTGGTTAGGGCTGCCCAAGAGGATTCCTTGTTCACTCCAACCTGCTTGCTCCTGCAATTGGTTTCTTCTGAGAAAGTGTGTTGATCGGGCTCAGAAGGAAATTCCACCCACTTTGGGACATCTGTGGGTCGGGGCTTTATGGTTTCTGTGGTTCCTCCCCGAGGACTTCTGACCCCCTCATCTCCCTTTATTTTTCTTATTGCTGTTACCATGAAGTCACAGCTCTTCCTCCCATCTTTGGAGCTGAGCCTGTGAAATTCAAGTTGTTCATGCTGGTCTGCAGAATTAGAGACTCTTCCTAATTTCTGGTGGAAATTGCTCTTTAATTCAAGCTAATTAAATGAAGAAAGGGGCTTTGGAACCTGCAGGCTTATGCGGGTGCTAAACTGAAAACCTGTGTTCATTTTCAGAACTCACTCCTTTTCCAGAACATGCCATACAAACAGGGTGCCTAAGTCTGTTCTGAACACACCAGTATACACCATATTATCCTGGGGTGTCTTTTTCATACCGTTATTGGGGTCCAGATTCCATAGCATTGGACGTAGATCTCATGAGATGACGCAGTATGCTCAGTACTAGAGACCTTCTTGAATGATGGAGTTGGGGTGGGGAGATTTCAGAACAGACTTATCTTGTCCTAAATCTTGTATTTCATAGGAACTTCCCTGGCAGTCCAGTGGTTAAGACTTCGCCTTGCAATGCTTGAGGGTTGCATGTTAGATTTCTGGTCAGGGAGCTCAGATCCAACATGCCTTGTGGCCAAAAAATCCAAAACATAAAAAAAAACAATATTGTAACAAATTCAGTAAAGAGTTTAAAAATGGTCTACATCCAAAAAAAAAAAAATCTTGTATTTTATAGTGTGTGACTTATTTTGTTGAATATGTTTTGTGTAGATAAACTGTAATAATAGAGTTAAGGATAGAAATTGCTAGCCTCTCTTTGGCCCGGTGATCTGTTGTCTGTCCATCCATGTAGCTAATGAGCCAGCTATAGTCAAAATCAGGACCTTAACACATCAAGACATTGATCTAAATTTATCAGTCTGGAAGCTAACTGGAATGAAATGATACTAGTTATATTGAAATCTTAAAACTGTTTAGTTCTTGTCTACTTAGTAATTCAGAGCACATGTATCATCAGTATGAAAGTTCTCCAGTTGGGAAAAGATGGGAATTTTCCCCCTCTAGAGGTGATGAAACTAAAGCATTGAAGAATTATATTGTTTTAAACACTGGTCAGATCCTTCTTATGATTTTTGGTATTAGAATTTACAGTGTTGCACAGGGCTTTACATTAATTCATTCTCATTGGTAGGCATTAATTAGTTTTTAGCCATGCTAGGAATTTGTTGGTCCATATTTAAAATTTGAACCTGAGGGAATTCCCTGGTGATTTAGTGGTTGAGACTTTGCCTTCCAGTGCAGGGGGCTGCAGGTTCAATTTCTGGTCAAGAAGCTAAGATCCCACATGCCTCTTGGCCAAAAACACCAAAACATAAAGCAGAAGCAATATTGCAACAAGTTCAAGAAAGATTTTAAAAATGGTCCACATTAAAAGAAACAAAAAACAACCTGAACCTGATAGTGTAGTCCAAAAAGAAAAGAATAGTTGGAAAACCATGTAACTAAATTAAATTTTTGATAGAGTAAACTAAATCCCCTTGACTTTGTGGACATGTTGTATCACAGGTTTTCATGAATTCTGTATAAGCAGTGAGAATGAGTGCTTTTGCTGACTTTTTTTTTCCCTGATAGGCTGGGTTGACTGGTATGTTTATTTTGTCACCATTCCGGTTTGAGTCTAAGGAAATGAAAACATCTTCCATTTGTTCTTTATTTTTGAAGGGCATCCGCTTCGATCCTGAAATTCCGCAAACACTACGACTAGAGTTTGCTAAGGCAAACACGAAGATGGCCAAGAACAAACTAGTAGGGACTCCAAACCCTAGTACTCCTCTGCCCAACACTGTACCTCAGTTCATTGCCAGAGAGCCATGTAAGTTACCTCCTTTTCATTTGGTGGGGGGTGCGGGGGAAGAATTGTTCAAGTGCTTCCTTCATGTGAGACTACACCACGGGACCCAGAGCTGGCTGAGTGTCATTTTCCATTTCTGAGAAGAGGCTGCCTATTCTTGCTGTCTGAATTCCAAAGACAGCAATCTTATTCATGACTGGCTGTCCCAAAAGATGGTTCGGCTCAATGAGAACTGTGACTACACAACTTAGTTTTAAGTGCTATAGGCTTCCTAAATATATGATCTTGACCTTACTGTGAGTATGCCCTCTTTGCCTTGGGGTTGAAATCCTCATTTATTTCCCATCCTTGGACTGGGTGCCTGGTTCTCGGCACTCCCTTTATTTCATTTTTTGAAGATTATCAGTTCTGTGGCTTTGGGAAAATACAATGTGAAACTTGAAAGAAGCAGATCATAAGAAGTTCGTTCTATTTTTGAGAACAGTTTGGCCATTAATCTAGTCAGGGGGAGTAAACATACACAAAGAATTTATATTGTAGAACAGTCAGTTCTAACAAATCAATACAAGCAACGCTTTAAGGAAATTCAGGGCTTCCTGTTTTAAGTGAATTGGGTAAAAAGACACTGACTAATTGCCAAACAAGTCTTTTACCCCCTCCTAATGAGCGCATTCTCCTAGATGCCCAGGCTACGATTTCTGCCTTTGATGGAGTAACTTGAAAAGGTTGTCTTAATTTTCTTTGTCAAGCTCAATCAGTAGAAGGGGCGAGGCATGCGATACGCCTTCATTTTTCCCAGTAGTGCATGACCCTGTGGGATTGAATGTGGCAGGGCCTTCAGGGAATCCCACGTGCTTGGTGTTCCTTGGAATCTTTCTGCCCTTTGGTTCTTGACCTTTTTCCCAAGCCACATGATCTTGATCTTCTTCCTGCTTTCCCTGACGGTCCGCTTCAACTTTTCTTATTGGAATTGAAGGGCGCAGGGGTCCTCTCCCTGTCTTGTGCATGTCAGATTTAATCAGGTTGTTGTGGAAATTACAGTCATTCTGTAGCTCAGTCATTCTTGAAAAGCTGCTCCTTATCAGTGGAAACTGGTAGATAAAAGAAGAGTTTCTCCCTCAGTGTATTGGACAGTTTTTCTATGAATCCAGGAAATCCTAGTAGAGAAAAAAATATATATATATTTTGTTCTTCCGTGTCCTAGGGAAACTCAAAACCTTTGTTTATTTGGGAAAATTAAACAAGTTTTATCTTAGGGTGCAGTTACATGAAAGGAGGATATAGATATTTCTTACTAATGCTAATTATGTGTCATTAATAGCATCTAGCCCAGTGCTTTGTATATTCCATATATCTAGTAAGTATTAGTGATGAGACGTGGATAAATTTCATATTTTTAAATTTGGCTATTTGCAGAATTATTCCATTTGTATGCCTCTTCATTTCTTTCTGAAATGTCCTCTCTCTTTAAGGCATCAGAAAAGAGTATTTGTAGGATACCTTTACTTAGAAAAGAGAACCTAGAGTAACTAACTCTTTACTTTCCTAGTGAATTTGCACCAGATCTCAGAGTACTTTGAAAAGCTTGATTCAGAGAGAAAGTGTAAAAATGGTGACAATACTTTATCCTTTTAGTTCTTTATTGAATGTTTTTCTTTCTGGGAGTTTGGGTTGTTGTTTTGTTCTGTTTTTTTTTTCTAAATTTCTTTACAACATCTCTGCGAAGTAGTTAGTCAAAGAGGTGATAGCCGGTTCACAATAGGGTCCATGAAAATAAAAAGATGAATAATCCGGATGTCCACACACGAGGCGCTGAATTTCAGGAAGGCTGAGGGCAGAGGTTTAAGCACTGCTCTGGCCAGCCCTGGCTCCCTGCCTTGCCTGCATACAGAACTGCTCAGAAGCGGTCAGATAGTTTCCATGGCAGGATCAAAACTTGCCTGGCACCTTATGGGAAACAAACTGGAAGCTTTAAAAAAAAAAAAAAAAAAAACTATATTCTTAAGAAAGCAAATTAGCGTGATTTCTCTTAATAGAGCTCCTCTTTATGATGTAGAGACCTTGACAAGACAGCAGTTACACTGGCCACTCAGACTGACCTTATCATCCATTTCCGTTCCCTCTGGAAATTGGGAGCTTTTCTGTAACTTGTGTAAAATGGTTGTTTGCCCCAAAGCACTCTACAGATTAAGAATGTGACTGTGGTTCTGCCCTGGCGAATTCAATTGTGTTGTGCCTGTAATTGGTGCTGGAGGTGGTGAATTTATCTGCCAACCAAGAGTAGACTTACGGAATCATTGGATTTGGGACTTGGGAAAGTCCTGTAGGCTTCTCTGTTGCAGACCATGAGAGGGATTTTATAAATGCCACACGCACATACGCACACACAGTTGTTCAGTTGCTACATCATGTTTGACTCTTCACGGAGCCAGGCCAGGCCTCTCTGTCCTTCACCGTCTCCTGGAGTTTGCCCAAGTTCATGTCCATTGAATCCAACCATCTCATCCTCGGACACCCTCTTCTCCTCCGGCCCTCTATCTTTCCCAGCATCGGGGTCTTTTCTAATGAGTTGACTGCACCAGGTGGCCAGAGTATTGGAGCTTCAGCCTCAGTTGTTCCAATGAGTACTCAGGGTTGATTTCCTTTAGGATTGTCTGCTTGGATCTCCTTGCTGTCCATGGGACTTTCAAAAGTCTTCTCCAGCACCACAGTTCGAAAGCATTGATTTCGTTTGTTTGTTTTTGGTTGTGCTGGGTCTTGGTTGCAGTGCACAGACTTCTTGTTGCAGTGGCTTCTCTTGTGGTGTGGCACGGGCGGTAGGGTGCAGGGACTTCAGTACTTGTAGCTCCCACGTTCTAGAGCACAGGCTCAGTAGTTGTGGTACATGAGCTTAGTTGTTCTGCTGCATGTGAGATCTTCCTGACCCAGGGATTGAACCCATGTCCCCCGGCATTGGCAGCTGTATTTTTCACCTCTGAGCCACCTGAAAACCCTAAATGCTTCTTTTTGTTGATGTTTTTTATATAGTGGTGGCTGAAAAATACCCACTGCTAGCACTCGAGGAAGAATGTGATTTGATTATACAAATATGTGTTTCTCAAGTATCTGTTGAACCTAAATGAGCACCAGGTGTGCTTGACACAGAGAGGAAAGGGACTGTGATTTTTGCCTTAAAAGAGCTGTCAATCCAAAGGGTTGGTGGTGATCAAAGTTGTTAGGACACTTAGCACATGTCAAGGGTATAAAAGAGAGCTTACATTACAGCTTAGTTTAAATGTCCCCAAATCAGACTACCTTATTTGCTGAGTGCCTCCTCTGTGCCAAGCATGAAGGATGAAAAATCCAAATTTTGGAACTTAAAGAAAAACTATTAACCTTGCTATGCTTCTGTTCCCTCGCCTTGGCTGAAAAATGGGAATAATACCATTTTCACATGATTATTATGAGAGCTAAATAAAACTCTATTATAAGATGGTGTTGAGGATTCAGTAGATGTATTATATGCAGAATACTAGGCAAATGTAAAGGATAATCTTAATTTTTTTTTTTAAAGTTGAGTTTTTTTTCCCCTGAGAGCTAAATATAGGTATTTATCTTCTGAGGTGTCATCTCTATGTGGCTATAGCCAGTTGCCTTTCCAAATTAGGAGAAAAGATGAATGAAATTTGCATCTAATCCCAGGAAAGTAGTCTGCTTCCTTCGATAAATTTTTATTTGAGCTTCTCCTTCTTTTACTTGCATTTATGTAATAAACAAAATTACTGTGAGGGACCTCCCTCATGGACCAGTGGCTGAGACTTCGCCTTCCAAGGCTGGGGGTGCCGATTTGATCTCTGGTCTAGGAGCTAAGATCCCTCATGCCTCGTGGCCAAAAACTCCAGAACATAAACAACAGAGGCAATGTTGCAACAGATTCAATGAAGCTTTTTCAAAATGGTCCTCATCAAACAAAATCTTAAAAAGAAAGAAAAATACTGTGACAAAGCAGAAAATCAAGAGATGTATGAAGTGTATAAATTCCATGAAATTGTGCTAGGTGATGCATTTGGTTATGGAGGAAGATAGTGTTGTGCAGTGTAAGAAGTCCACTTCAGAGATGAACACAGAGCAAGTCACCCTCTGGAGATTTGTTTCCTTCCTCTGTAAAATGATGATACTCTGTGTCAGACACTCTGCTAGGCATTTTACATTAATTACCTCATTTGATTCTCAATAGCACTGTTTGGCAGTTGAAAAAACTGCCTCCTGGGAAGGTCCAGTAACTTTCTTGACGTTCCACAGTCATCAGATGTTCGGGATTGATGTGTGCCCTCTCCCCCAAATCCGTATGTCAAAGTCCCAACCCCCAGTTGAGGGTTGCTTTCACATGTAACCATATTTGGAAATAATCTCAAGGTGATTAAAAAGTGAGGCCCTTCGGGTGGACCCTCATCATATGATTGGTGGCCTTATAAGAAGAAAAAGAGATAAAGGGACGGCTCACACAGAGGAAAGGTGGATGTGAGGATGCTGCCAGCTAAGGACCGAGGCCTCGGGAGAAGCTGAACCTACCCACGACTTGATCTTGGATTCTGATTCCTCAGAATCATGAGGAAATTAGTCTCTATTATTTAAGCCACCCCGTCTGTAATATTCTGTTACAGCAACCTGAGCCATCTAGTCCATCAAGTGATAGAGCCTGGATTTAAATTCTGGTTTGTCAGCTCACTCATTTTATAACTTTGGTCTAATTACTTAATTTCTCTGTACCTCAGTTTTCTCACCTATAAAATGACAATACTTACACATAAACGGTTGTGAGGATTAAATTGACAGATGTGCATGTCAGAAGAGGGGGCCACATCGTGTTCAGTGACTGTTAATATGTGCAGAGAAGAATGTATGCTTCTGTGCCTTTTATCTCTTGCTGTGAGACCTATAGTTTTTGTATATTCAGTATCCTAGCACCTAGAAAAATATGTAGAATTTTTAAAATTTGGCCATCCTGGGTCTTACTTATGGCTTGTGGGATCTAGTGCCCT